GTTGAAAAAGCTTCTATAGAAAAGTATTAATAACCATAACAATAAATGTCAACTTATAATTAATTTAAAGCCTGTAAACACTGATGTGTCCTGCAGAGAAAATACAACAAATGTGGGTGACAAAGACAAACACGTGCCGGTAAAACACTGAACACATCTGATGTATTCACGAATGATGTGTTATAGCCTAAACCTCCTGTTTGCAACCCCCCCACCCCTATTAACAACCTTTAAGCTGTTACGCACAATAAGAGTATGTAGCTTGTGTGGGCCAAATGTTGGTCCTCTGTCAATCCTGAGCAGCTTAAGAGGCAATGTAATTGTGTGTGGAAAATGCCCTGTAATTATTGCTGAAAACCAATTTACCTACGCGGACAAAGAAAGAATATAATACATAAGAATTATATTGAATTAATGAAAAATATATGCATTACTGTAACCCCCTGCCCTGTCATGGAGTAATGATACATGGAAAAACACAACATTGATTTTCACAAATATTTCTTCCAGGACTACAAATGTTAACAACCATCCACACTTCACTATATTAGCCGTCTCTTCCTTCAGGCCTACATTGACTGCTTTGTTGGGTTCAGTGGGTTGTGGAACATGTCACCAAACACTGGACTTTTGTTCTGCACACTGGGCTGAACTTTGACCTCCTGTGACCTCCAACAACCAGAGAACTCAATTATATGGATGCAGCATAATACCCTCTTTATTTCCATCTACAGTTCAAACACCCACATGCGTCCTCACATTGTCCCTCAGGAGGAAATGAACAACATGACGCTCTATGAATCATCATTTAAAGTGTCACTGGGCCATTTCCTTTAAAATGAAATCTGTGTCTGATGTGGTTCTCATCCTGTGATCTCTCTCCAGTAGCTATTGATTATTCATTAGTTTTTGTGTTGTGATAGCAGCAGGCCCGCCAATAAATATTAAATAATAATATATAATAACTCTGATGGATGAACTGATAGAGATCTATAGAGATCCACATTAGTTTAAAATCACATTTGTCTCACTAAGCTGCATCCTGACGTCATTCCTCCGCGACGCGCCCTGCTACGTCATCAACCCGGCGACGGGCGATTTCAGTTTGTAAACATTTGGGAGGAGACAACAGCGACAGAAGGAAACATGGATGATCTGGTGAAGGTGTGTTTGTAGATATTTATTTTAAATCACGTCTAAAAGGTTTGGAAGACTGTTAGGTGCTTGTAGCGTGTTGGTTTTTAGCCAGTTAGCATGAAAGCTAAGCCTGAAGATGAGCCAGCCTCAGGTTTGCCTCTGTGACATGTTTCTCTCCTGGTTTGATTTTTACACCAACGCGACTAACAACAGGTCTAATGTTGCTGAACGTTGACTGTGTTCATAGCATCTAAAGCAAAGAGACAGGACCATGAGAAGCATCAAGGACAAAACACACAATTGACTATTTAGGATATGGTTTGAAATGATGGTCATCAGAGAGGGTTGTCTCTTTTGGTTTATCTTGCTGTGTTTAGTTGAAGGATCCCCACATGAGAGTGCCTCTAGTGTTCCTGGACTCCTGAACATAGAAATACAATACAGATGTAGAAAGTGAGGGCTCCGTGTGTGCAGCAGATAACAGTGGTGATTTTATAAAACCGTTTCCATTAGACAGTGGTACTCTACCTGCTGCTTCTGAAGTTTTAGGTGTCACAGTCCAGCTAATGTTATGCTATTTGAAATGTGTCTCATTCTGCAGGCAGGTACGTTTGTGTGTGTAATTGAATCGCGTTTGATCAGATGTAAAATCCCATCAACACAAATGAGTTCCTGCGTTTCCTCAGGTGCACGGAGCTGGTGGCTATGACTCGGACTTCAGTGATGATGATGGACAGGGAGAGTCCTCAGACAGAGGCCTCAAAAGGTACAAGTAATGGTGATCGCACAACACGATTTTACAGTGGAGCGGGAGGCTGATATTGTGATGAAAGATTAAAGTACTCATTCTAGCATTGTCTCCAGTTAAAATCAGACTTGTGGGTAGACAGCCTCATCATCTAACACAAGTTTTTCGCCTTTATTTCTTCTCTTGTCAGGAAAAGTGAAGAGGAAATCTTACAGAAGCCATTCCAGAAAGGTCGTCGCTCCAAGGTGGCTCACCGGAGTTTACACTCTAATGAGCTGGACAGGTATTGTACACTCAGTCACCAAATATGATATAAACACATTGTGATCATCAGGTCTAGTAATATATAAGAGCTTTCTATATTTAAATTAAGTCATTCATTCAAATTAAACTTTTATGCGTAGTCTGTGTGTACATGATGAATGACCAAATTGAAAATAAAAAAAGGACAGTGTTATTTTTGTATTTTAGTTTGACAACAAAATATGCTGTAAAAATTAGAGATAACTATTCTTCTTTTTCCTGTTTTTCAGAGAGGAGGCCAGGAACAGAAGAGCCCACCTGATATCAATGAATGCTGTATCCTTTTTTTTATTCACATATATATATTTTCTGTTTTTGTTAAGATCTTTGAAATGATAAAAAAGAACGATAATTATCGACAAAAAACTAAGTTTTTGCAGAAGTTAACATTCAAAGAGGGACTGACCTTAAGCAGATTTCACCAGTTTGAGCGACATAAGAAGTTTGTAGGTGACTACATACTCTATTATGGAGGAAAGATGACAGACCTGAAACGCTCTGTGTAAGTACTGTATCTCACAATCAAGTTTGACAGGTCCGTCTTCTCCGTCTGAAACAAATGAGAAAATAAGGAACAATAACAGATCATTACAAACACATTGTTTTCACCTAATTATATACTTGATTCACGAGCAGTCATTTCATCATCATCAATCCTCCTATTTGTGATTTTAAGCATTTTATTTAACTTTCAGAGCTAAAGACAAAACAGATCATGATGTGCTGCGTGAGAATCATCGCTTCCTCTGGAGGGACGAGGACGAGGACGACATGACATGGTGATCATACATTGTCAAACTAGTAATAGAGGCTACTTTAACATTCGGTCTGCTTTTAGTTATTCATCTCTTCTGAATTAGCATCTTCCAATCTTACTTCTGGTCTTATTCTGTTCCAGGGAACAAGAACTCGCCAAGAAGTATTATGACAAGCTGTT